TGCAGAGATTCAAAAGCATTCCCTGCCTCTCCATTTTTCTTAGCATAGATTCAGGTAGAGTTATAATCACATGAAAACTAACAGTGCAGTAGAAAGTCTAGTTATCCATACATGTGGCAAATAATGTTTAACACTGTGCCAAAATTAATTGCATATGTAAATGAGAATACTGTAATAATGGTCTAGAAGACATTACTTCATTTATGACTAATATTATATTGGTGAATGTTGCTGAATACTGTAATGGCAAATCTTTGTATCTTTAGAGAAAATAAATAAAAGCTAAAGCTACCTTGAATTTTGCAAGTTGACCTGTCCCCGACTTGGACTGTATCTTTTGAAAAGCTGTTACCCCATTCAAGCTTTTTCCTCTCTTCTGGAATCTTTGAAATCCTATTCTACAACTGCTATAAGTGTCACAAAACTGCAGCTTATGCATAACCATCTTAAATCTCTTAAGTATATTTGATTGTTTCAGGTGACATCCTTCCATATCAGCTTTTTTTTTTTGCAACAATCTCTATACTGAGTACTGCCAAATGCAAAATGTTCACAGGCAAAGAAAAATCTCCAACACACATCTGTCTGTCATTTGAGAAGTTGCTTTGTGGGAAAATGTGGGAAAATGAACAAATCTAGGTTTTATTCTTTTTGTGCATGTAACTTTTGTGTTTCAAAATCCTGCCAAATGTTGTTCTATTCAGAATTAAAAGAAAAGTAAACTCCTAACCTAGCTGACGATTTGCTCAGGTTGGACTAATCTAAACGTCAACCATATTCCTGAGAATATGACACTAGAGGTAGACAATTACGTTTGTATTACTTGAAATATGGTAATTACTCTCTTCTGGAAAAATTGACATGAAGTGACTTCATGATATACAGGACTTGCTTACTGAATTTGGGTGTTTAAGATACCTATGAATAGTAATAATATGGTATGAGGAGCAATAAAATCTGCCACCTTTCCCTCATAGTGAATGAGGGAGCAATATTAAATCTCAGCATAAGTTTTTTTTGTTCAAATTGTATGGTGGGATTTTTTTTTTATTTCAAAAGCAATCGATGACCAGGAAAGAGTTGAAGTGTTTGTGGGACTTTTTGTTCTTAAAGGATGTATTGAGAAGCTTTCATTTCTTTTTGGGGTGAAATGCAGTATTCTCTTACAGATACTGTTCTCACCAACAATCCATTTCCATTACACCAGCATCACGTCTTTCAGCCTCTGTAAGGACATTTGTTCAGTAGCAGAAACTTAGTCCTTAAGAACTGTAAAAATAGATGCCAATGTGGTGACTGTAGCCACACATTTTGAAAAGGATAAAATATTATATGCCAGAACGTATTGTTTGTAAACTTATGGAATGGAAAGGAATAATCTACCTCAAAGAACAGGAATGCAAAATAATGCAGTATCTGAAAAAAATTGTATAATGAAGAATCAATATTTTACTCTTTCACTTGAGATGTAAGATTGGTGTCTTGAAATGTGCTGGTTTTAACCTATGAGCAATGGAGAATTTAAACAGTCTCTTCAGTGCAGTAACAATACAATACATTTATACAGCATCTTCCCTAAAAGAGTCACAAGGGACCTATCTGTGATCTTTCAACATGTCAAGCATACTGGCTCTGACTACTTTCTTGTGTGCTGAAGGGAAAAATGAATGTTGTTTAGGTCTCCTAGACAACAGTCTGTGCTTCAAAAGCAAACTATGCAATAGGTATCTATCTGATTCAAATCTAGTGTTCAATTTCAGAGTGAAACAACATGAGTGTCTGTTTGCCTGGGCTATTTCAGATGGATAAATAAGCTCATTCAGCCTTCAGTACTATTCAGTTCAGATAATATTTTTAAATACATATCTAGACAGAAATATTTCTCCTTCATTTTCCTTATAGAAAAATTAATTCTATTAATTTTAGTGTTTTGATATTTCTTGTAACTTAACAGTGATTTTTACTTTGTGTAAATTATATTTTCCAAGTGAACAAAAGCTTACTCTAAGCCAACAACTAGTAATGTCTGTATTTGTTGCTCTTGAAATATTATATTTAACAAAATGTATTTTTCTCTTTTTAGGCTTATATTTCCCCTTTTGTATAGTTTAACTTTGCCAATAAATGTCTGCTATCCTCAGTTGCCAACTAAGCTATCATAGTAATATGAATTAGCCTGAAATTATTGTAACAGGTTACAGAGGGGAATATTCTTCACAGAAATTAACAAAGAAGTAATTAACTCAGCAGTGTTTTCCTATATAACTATGATGACAACTTTAAAACCACAATTATGAAACACCTCAATGTGATTTCTGACATACAAGTTATTGTATATAAACATTGATTTGCAGTCTTGATTTGAGTAAAATCATCAAGATTAACTAAGTAAACAAACTGATTTTCAACCGCGTCAGATTTCAGGTAAAATTCCAATTAGCTGAACCAAATTTCGCTTAACCTTTTTTCCAGGACAACTTCTTGAGGAAAGAGGGAAGAAATGGACAAAAATACTCTAAATGATAAACAATGTAGGCAGTTCTTCAATGGCATTTTATCCTGAAGGAATAAACTTTCTACATTAATTGTTGAGTTTTGGCAGTGGAAACCCATTCAGAAGATCCACTCTACCTATTAAATAATGCTAAAGTAATATTAAAAAAATGGTTTCTGTGAAAATTAATGTTCCCCAAATTAAGAAAAGCGTTTTATAATCTGCCTCCAAACTAATATTGCTTTTTCTCTATCAGACAAAGAAATGTTTGCTTCTTTATTCATTCACTTTTTTAAAAATTTTTTGTGGCCACAATCTCTTAAGTTTAAAAATATTAATTCTGTAAATTTAGTCACCAAAATGCTGTTCAAGGCTTTTTTTTAATTTAAAAGGCTTTGTAGTAGCACAGTCTTCATCTCATTCATATTGGCACAACTTAACTTAGGTACAAACTGTCTGTTTGTACCTAATGACAGACTGTTAGAAGAACTTCAGAGTACACAAGGTTTATGTACTGACATTAGGTCACAGATGCCACTGTGAGATCCCAAATTGCCATTGCAAATAGCTAGTGTATTAATGGGGAATTAAACTTCTTCCCAGTAAAAGATGGAGAGAGCATCTTATTTTATGCTTCCCTGCCCTGTCTGAACTACTTCCTTTTTATAACAACTGTATTTCTGCCAAATACCTCTTCTTTCCAGCCAGGAACTCTAAAAGCAAAGTGTCCTTGCCATTTAGGAAAGATGTTGACAGGAGGTAGATGCAATGATCCCCTGCCTACTTAGACATCAATTCTTTCATTCATCAGCATCACAGGCAGTGAAGGAACACGAGTTCTGCAGGCCATGGTACTTTAAATGCTGTAGTATGTTTTAATATTAATATTAATAATAATCTCTTTTTCATGAATGACAGCAATTTGAAAAGTTATGTTGTAATGTAGGTACAGTTTCCATAAAAGTAATTGAAGCTAGCATTTATTTACTAGGAATTACTGGATAGCACGTGCTATCTAGTCGTTAGGCACTTCAAATGTCCCTGCAGACACAGCTATTTGAGGAAAAACAAAATGATGGTATTTAGGCCCCTCAAACTGAACTGATGGTTGCCAACTGGAAGCAAATTCATTCTCCTTACAGGAATTTGTGTAGCTTCTGTTTCTACATACAGTGTTGCAAGGTGTCAGAGCTAAAACTCCTCCCTGTTCTCACTTTCTATGTAGCCTGTGTTGCCTCTTGAACAACTGTAACTTTTCAGTGAAGAAAGGAACACATCCTTAGAAGACAGGTTTTAGAAATGAAAGTGGCAAACATTTCACACTGTGTAGAGGTGTGATATGTTACAAGTAATCCTGGAAGAAATGGAGTAGTGGGCAGAGTGGAGTGCTCAGAGCTGCATGTATAATTCACACTTAGTGTGATGGGTGCTATAAAAGAAATCAATACATAAGCTCAAAGGCAGATGGAATTTATCACATATCTCTGCTGTTTGTCACCTGAATAGGTATAGGATACATCTGTATAACTTAATCTTATTTTCCTTCTAAAAACACATGCTAAATGCATATTAATTTCTGTACACATAACTTGAAGTGTTTAGTGAAAAATATATATGGAAGGTTTTAACTGGAGATAACTTACATAGTGCCAGAACAAAATGCATCTTTTCCAATATCGTGTTTACTCCTCAATGAGAGATCTGTCACTTCAGTGCTTCATTTTGGGTAGCTCATTTGATTGAAATGTACAATAATTACTTAACCAGTAACAAAAAATATGACAGGACAACAAAACCTGTTAATAGTAGCAATCATTATAGCATCCTAATGAAATATATTATGCTTCATTTCCATAGCTAGGCCAAATGCTGATTTCTGACAAGTAGATATTTTGGTTTTGCCATTTGATTGAGATCTGCAGTGTAATCCTAAAAGAATGAGGAATGATTGAGACACGTATGTATGTTGTTGCTATGGTAAATAAAAAGTGGCCTTCAGGTCTTTGATATGATATTGAAAAATGACATATTAAAGGGAAACAGTACGAATTTGAATTGCAGTATAGAATTTTCACTTTTCTGAGAGGCACCTTTCTTCTAGTTTAAATTGTAAACACCTGAAAATCCATTGTAAATTGATGTTGTATTTACTGTGTAGCAGTCACTTTAATATGCTTGCCTTGAAGCCCCAAAAGCAAAATTGTATTAATCCTATGGCTTCAGAAAAGCGGGGAGAAAAATAGCCATCGATGCTTATAAATATGAAGCCTTCAGAGTATAAGTAAAAAAAAATTATAGAGAAAACCTTGAACAATTCCTACAGCAACATCAGCCCAGTTTCATTCTGAACTGCTGAGCCAGAAATGTGAGAAAACGGAGTGACTGAAACCTGCCAGAGAAGAAAAACTGCTAGTGGACTGCTCATATGAATCCACAGACAGCAGCATTGATTCCACTATCTTCCCTGCATTGATTTAAGACTGTTACTATTCAGGTGAATTGAAACCTTCACTGAAGCCATGGTGGAGATGAGCACAATAAACAGTTGTTTGTCATTTGTAACTCATTAGGACTCTGAAGTAATGAACTGATTTCTTCTTTTTTTGCTTCAACTAGGTTATATTAGGGGGCTCATGGGAAGAAAGATATATTTTGTGTGTTTCTTACATTACATACTTTGGCTTAAAGAACATGTTAGAAATCAGATTAGGTAAAATCTACAAGACCAAACTTTCCAGCTATAGTTCTACCTTATTGGTATAGCTTATATCTTGAGTTCATCCAATTTTCATAAACCGGGGCATCGCTTTAAGCCTCATTTGAAGATGAAGCTATACTATGCAGGCACCACAGATTGCAACACACTGCAATCTCTCCTGATCCAAATTGATATTGGTATGTCATTCTAATTGAGAGAGAGAAGAGTCCTTTTCCATGACAAAAAAAGATTTCTAAATTTGTTCAAGATTTTAAATTTGAGGTGGGGGGGAGTATTTGGTTGGTTTATTTAGGTTTTTTATTTGGTTGATTATTTATTTGTTTGTTTGGGGTTTTTTTTGTGAGAAAACAGTAGTTTTTATTAAACCTTCATCTTTTTAGCATTTCACAGCTTGTGAAAAGATTAACTGATCAAAGTCAGAGACATCACCCCTGGGATACTCCTGATGACTACCAGGGAGGAGGCATTTACATGAAGCTTTTTTCCTGATTCAGAACTGAGTATTAAGCTGGGTCTCCCACATTTCTGTCATACCTCCTACATATTTAGTCACTTGGTGCTTGTTGGTAGCAGCAACCTGAGTAGGAACTTTTCTATTTTGAGTAGATAGTTCAGGGAAGTTATTTCAAAAGTTAAGTTTTACCTAGTCTGCCTTCATTGCAATGAAGACAGTCTTCTTGACATAAAAAATCTTATGGTAATAACATACGTTAAATACATTATTCATGACAGGCCAGGACCTGTAAACATGAGGTATGTAGAAAATGCTCAACAGACTAAAAGAATTATCCTATATTGGAGGCCTGTCAGGAGTCTGACACAGGTTTAAGTGAGATTTAACAAAACACTATAATAAATCTTTCTACTCCCTTAACATGAAATAAGGCCTGCAGTTTACAACATTCCACAAAGAATAACTTGGCTGTACTCTCAGGAACACACCAGAGCAAACCTCTTCTCCATCTCTCATTTATGCATAGTAGCAGAAATCAGATAAAGAGCATTCACTGCACTTTAAGTGTAAAATAATTATTTTTTTCCAACAGTTCTTAAATTAAGTTGATACTATTTCAAATTCATGAAGTTGAATTAATTCAGAATCCTTTCTGTCTCTTAGTCAGTTATAAAACAAAATATAGATTTTGTTCCTTATCCCTCAAAAAACATGAATGTGAAGAAAAAAACCCCTCTAATTTCTGTGAAACTACTTTGAAATATGACTTGTAGTAGTAGCATTCAACAAAGTATCTTCAGCCTGACAAAATCAATGAAACCAAAATAATCTGCTGTGATGCTGTTTTGCTTCTATTGAAAAGTTTTCAAAAATTGGGCAGAAATCCCTAGTGATTTTACAAGATAACCTCCTTGTAGCAGTAGAAAACTCAGCTTTTTCTATATGCTTTATCCTCTCCCAGTACTCTTCTGGGAGAGGAAACCTGAAAATTTCAGGATATATTTGTTAAATTATTAGAATATGAACTGTGTTTTGGGTTTGCAATGTGAAATTATAAATGGCAATAATTGTTCAGGGCTTTGGATGGAAGGAATTCTTATTAAAAAAGGCATCAGTTAACAGTACCATGTGATTTCAGTAAGCACTCTTCATGGAATAAAATTGTGAGTAACTCAGCATTCTTTGATATAAGTTTATTTAATTAAATATAATTATTTTGAATTTAATAAATTATGATTAAGAAAGGTCTCTAGCATTTTGTAGGTTGTTGATAATTTTTTTCTTTTACTGCTTAAAATTGTTTACATCATTACAGTTAACCATATCCATCCTTACACAAAGCTTTTCAAGTATAGCAGAAAAATGTCAATCCTACTAATGCAAATTGATATATCAGGCATAAAGCCAAACCAAACTGGCTGTTGCATATTTGTAGTTTATATGTGCTGCACCTGAATGTAATTATATGCAAATTGTCAGTTAAAAACAAAATACCGTTGAAAGAATATCCCTTCAAAGCAGTCTCCTTAGTCACAAAATTTCGCAGGTTTTTGCAAGATCTTAAAGATGGAAAATAGCCAAAAGAAAAAAAAAAGCCTGTTCAGGAACTTGAATCCTGTTCATTCCTTCCACATGAGCTGACCTTGCTTCACCAGTTTGAGAAATTCATTACCATAATGAGTTATTCACGTGGTAGCAACAGATAACATAAACTAAATTGCTCACCTTCACAAACTCTAGAATGTCAGGCATATATTGCTGTGGTGCTGTGTATTTTCCATCAAAAACCAGTTAACCTTAGGTGAAATTCAAGGTTTTTTTTACTTAACCCTGATTTTTTAACATCTATTTTCCTGTAATACAGCTTTTCAGGCTCCCCATATCCATGTGTCCTATGTTTAGTTACCTGTCCCATGGGCAGTGAGGTTAGAAGTCACATGCTATTCATAGTGCTTGGATCCTGTTTCTGGAATTGATCCTTCATGGATAAGTGTGACTTGTTTTAGGCTGTGACATAAGACGTGAGCCATGTTAAGTTAGCTACTTTATGCCTGTGGTGGTGCCTCCTCCCCATCCCAGCCCACACTACGATCTCATTTCATGGCAATGTCCCTTGCCGCTTAGATCCTCAACAATTTCTTTTTCAATTCTTTGATCCGTCCAGGATACAGGACTTGCTGCAAGGAATCACACAATAAAGTGTTCCCCATTATAGAGAAAAATGCCTGTTGTAATTCACTTAATGTTTAAATCCTTTAAGGATCCCGGATCGTGGAATGGGAGTTTTATAAAAGTGCATTTTAATAATTAAAGTTAAAATTAATTAGAGTCTGTGTTGCTGTATAAGTATAGAAAGAAGATTCTTGGTGCATGCTAAGCAAGAAGAAGGAACAGTGAGTCAGTCACAACACAAATTGTGGGGAAAAATGGAAGTTTCTTTCACAGAAACATAAATATTTTATATGATCTGAAGCAGTTGCTAACAGCTTTAGAGAGAAATGCTACTTATTAGTAAGCCTACCCCAACCATTTATACCAGTGTGTGCAACACCTTGCATTAGATCAAGTGGAATAGAATTGAGAACATAATGTGTCTCCCAGATTTGAGCTTCTTATCGCCTATAATATATTTGGAGATGATATTAATCTTCTTTGCTTTTATTTACCTCATATAAGATATAAAAATGAACAAAAATCTCAGCAAATGTACATTTTGTCTGTGTCTGTGGTTAGGCAATGGTTGGTTCAGCAGAACAAGCAGACTTGTGTATCCTTACAGATTCAGTTAATCACACCTTTAAGAACAGTCTGAACAAAAATTTGCTACCAGTTTGTTTTGTTCAGTAGCCTGTAACAAACCTTTTTTCCATAAATTTCTGTGGTAACTTTGCTAGTCTATTTAAAATTCTGGCATTCAAAGAACCTGATAATAATGAATTCCACAACTGAAATGTGTGAAGTACAAAGAAAGTACTTCCATTTTTATTTTTTTTTTAGTTCTCAACTTCATTTAGCATCTTCTTAGTAGAAGAAATAAGGAAAAAAATTAATTTCCTACTTACTCTTTCATCATATCTGTCATTGCATACAACTTTATAGCCCTATCTTCTCCACACTGTGGAGTCACAGGCTATCAACTTGTCCCTGCCACAGTTATAGCTTCTTTTCTTATGGAAACCATTCCACTTGTTTGATCAACCTTATCCCATTTTCTGCACTTTTTCAAGTTCTTCTTTCAGCTTCACATATTTGAAGATCATGTAGGTAAGACTGTGTGCATTATGCATAGTAAGGCTGCACCTAGTCCTCTTTCTAGACCAGACGAATGAGAAATACACAAATTAAATTTTAATGATGAGTGTTGTTCTGATCATCACACTCTTTGGGGGGAACACAGAGTCACTATAGTTTATGGACAACAAACAGTAAGCCAACAATAAGTCACACCACAGGCCCTGGGCTGATGCACCACTAGCTAATGGCTAATGTAGACACAACCGTTGTTTACTCTGAATCATCTTGCTGTGCTTTGTACACTACTCATGATAACAGCAAGCATTTTGTATCTTAAGCTTTTCCTTTTCATTTGTTTTTTCTCAAATATCCCTGCTTTCTTTCTTAGAAATTATTGCCGTGTAGATTTCAAGTTTTTAACGTGTTCCTTCAAGGATGCAGATAATAAATATTTTACTATTACTATTGTAAAATGGCTCTTATTAACCATTTTACCTTAAATCAGATTCTGCACAGGTGTATCATCTAACACAAAATGCTACATAGAGTATTTTTGAGCTATATATATATGTACATATATATATATATGAATATATATATAAAAAAAATATAATTAATTGAAAAAATAGTTTACCTAGCAATAAAATATATCAGAGACTGAGAATTTTGCATTAAAAATTAGGTATACAGTCTGCTAAGATGATAGAACACCTTCAAAGAGAGCATTTTTAATAAAGGTAGATACACATTCATCCACTACAGGCAAAATCCTAAATCCATCATAAATATACCTGCTATTACTGTATGACAGAACAGTGAAAAGCAGATGGACCTTATTTGCAATAATGTAGCTGGGCTGAAGGTATTTTTCTGCCTCTTCCTGCATTAATAATGACAGGTGGTGTTGAAGATAATTTTAACCAGATTATGATGAGCTGTAGTTCAGATTCAAAGACTTTTTTTCCAACTTCTCATGCTTGATATATGACTGAACATACTTTTAAATGCAACTCTTCAAAAACAGCATTTGAAGATTTGTGGGTGTGAGAGCTGATGAGGTGCTTGCCTTTTTGAAAAGAATTCTTTGAAAAACTTAAAAAGAATGCATTTCAAAAAAAAGATTCCTCTGACTTTCATGTGAAGATATCTATTTTGATATGAAAATGCTTGTAAATGGTATTTCAAAATAGCAGATTCCCTCCTTCTGAAAATAGGATCACAAACTAGATGAAGAACAAAAAAGAACGCTGTGCTTACTTTAGACCTTGCAAGCTGAGAAGGTAGTGTATTAATTGCAATCTGCTTGCAAGGCAGTGTTTCTTCTTTTTAAGAAGAAAACAAGTATATACATTTATGTAGTACCTGGTTTCCCTCACAGCTCATTGAGTTACCTTCAAAGCTAGAACAGCCCTTGAAGATAATCTCAGTTTCATAAATTGCATTCTTAGAGTTTCACCTTCTGTGTTATGAATGTATGCAGATATATGCAAATGACTGCATATGTTCAAACTTTCTATAGTTACTCAACTGTATATAATGGGAAAACAAAGTAAAATAATGCTTAGACTGTAGTTTATAACTTAAGTGGGCAAAGAAATTATTTATGAAAGGGTTAATTCTCATAATGACTCTATTCATTAGGGGTTATGTATAAGTGAAATATTAAGTAGAGAACTTGTGGTTTCTGTCATTTCTTTGGGATGAAAAGTTTCATTTTACGAAAAACAAAGTCTGTTTTCAAACTGAAGATATAAATAAAACAAAAAAAATGCATTGAGTTCAATCACAAATTTGTTTCGAATGACATCTGAATGACCAGGCTGCAATAGTTGAAAAGGTGGTAGCTACGGGTATATATTTCAAAAGACTGATATACAGGTATGTCATTTCAAAAGACTGCTTGGGAAAAATAGTGTAAAGAACAGTGGTAATTGACCATGTACCCACTCATAGGGTCTGAATAATTATAACTTCTGTGAATGTTTATTTATTCTGCCTGTTAAGGCTAAAATTTGATGCACTTTGATTCTGGCATCTGAGTCTGTGTGTGAATTCATTTTTGTCATCAAGAAACTATTCCTGTCATGAGAGAAAGCTACTGTACTGGCAGATTCCGGTGAGCCCAAAGCTGAGGCTAATGTCATGGGCTCCTCCTTTCTTCTGTTTGTAATCAGCTGCCTTGCTTTGCTGTTTTTCTCAGCTGAATCCTCACTCATACTTGCAGCAAGTTTGCAACCTGTTTAAGCAACTTGCAATGCAGTTTAAGCAAGAATAGGTCACATCAGTAGTGAGTTCTTTTTACCTGGGCTAGAGTTATACAAAACCATGACTTAAGAAAATCCTTGGAAGAGTCATATAATGTTTCCCCTTTCAATATGAGCTGAATAAGACCAATGAAAAATTACTCAGAAAACAAAGATGTTTCATCCTAATCAATTCCTTGTCATGAAGAGGATCTGCATAAGGCTCAGTTTTTATTTAAAATACCTTGTTGTATTTGAGGATTGTTCCAATCCAGTATTTTAACTTGGCGTGAGTTGTTTGGTACATCTTCGTGATATGCTGTTAAGTCTGACATGCATAGCTCGATTGCTTTGCACAGTAACCATTTTCAGACTTGGGTTTTATTAGTTGTTGCCCAAAGTTGCAAGATAATTACCAATACTGGCTATCTGCTGCTAAAATTGATAAATTTTCCAGGTGACAGGCTACATGATAGTTTAAAATTTCAGCCTTGGATCTGTGATACTGTTATCTTGGTTCAACCAAATGTAATAAATCTAACTAATTTAACTAAACTGGTAAATGAAGTTGTGCAGATACTTTTATTGCAGTTTAAATGAGGCATTTTTCAATTTAGCATAAATTGAAATCTGTGTAAGCTAAACTGAAACAAACTGCTTTTAAACTGAGTTATACATACACAATGGAGTTTAACTAATTCACTTTATGAAAAAGCTTAAGTTAATAAACCACAAATCTCTTGTGTGAACAAAACTTTATTCTTGCTGTACAAAACTGATAAAAGATTGTTAAATACAGTTTCCATGTCTTCATAGAAAAGCGTAAAAGAAGTCATATTTGACACATAGTAATCAGAGTGCATATGTACTTTGCTGAAATATATCAGATAAAAAGCAAAGGTATGAAATAAAAATTTGATTTGGTTCCAATACAATAGTAAGTGTAAACACTAAACAAAATTGTGTAAGAAATATAAATAAACCAGCCCTCTGAAAAGCAAGTTCTCTTACAGAGAGAGGTAAGAATAAAATGAAAAAATATCTTGGTTCAGGTGATAGATTCTTCACTGTAATGAAAATTGTGGAACTGGAAATGATTTATTATATTATCTAATGATCTACCTTCTAGTATACTACTAAAGTGTGATTTCTTTCATACACAAACCAGAAAACAGACCAATAAAATTTTTAAGAAAAACACTTAAGAGAAACTGTTAATAATCTTCAAACGTGTGCCTCACTACTATCAAACTTCTGAGTAAAGAGAGACTTTAGCACATACTTATGGACCTCTTCCAAATGGGACACCATTATTATCTTTAACTATATAAGTACAGGTTCTCCTGTGTTATAGTGGAGTATGACTGAGAAAAAAAATTGCTTTTGACTTCAGAATAACACAGTACCTTGGAAATATTTCTGTTACAGCAGCCTGAGACCTCTTTCTGGATGAGAGGGGTTTGTAGTAGTATAGCTCTGCTGCAGGAAAAGAACATGTTCTACTGATGTAGATACCATACATGCATCATATTTATAGGGAAATTGTATTGAAGATCACTTTCATCAGTGATTTTTTTTACATCTGACTTCACCGAACTCTTCCCCAGCAAAAAGCAGATACATTTATTCTAGGCTGCTCAACAACACTCTCACATGTGCCAAATGCAGTGAGGTAGATGTCCTCACTGTGACACCAGAAAAGGGTAAAGGAAGAAGAGATGCTTCACAAAAATATCACAAACATTTCATGTCTGGAGCCATAGAGTGGTTCAGGGCACCATTTCTTCTCAACTTAGATTTATCTTGAAGCCTTCACTTGAGCAACCTTCTCCTTGATATTGTCTTGCTGAACAATCCAGATCTTCTGGAGCTAAAGCATACTGTTTACACGATAAAGGTATGGAAGAGAAAGTGATGGGCAACTTTGCAGCAAGATGAGTCTCTTCTTCTGAAACAGAAACCTACACTTGAAGAAGCATGGAGCTGGATATAGGACCAGGGCAGCTAAAGGGAGGACTGTGGCTATATGTTAAGATTACCCTGTAACCCTGTATCAAACAATAGGGAGAAAAAGGTCTAGAAGCCATAGGTAAGATCATAAAGAAATTTTGGCTGATTAGTGATAAGAAAAAAGAAAAAAGGTCAAGATCCATCCTATGTAGGTACTGTGTTTTTGTTGCAGAAGGCTGACATGGAATGTCTAACTCTTTTTTAACTGTGTGTTTTATTCAGGACAAAATGTTGCCAGAATTCAGTTATTTAAAAATAAATAAGCAGCAACTTGAATGCAGATAAAGGTACCCAACTCAATTAGGAAGGATTTTTTTTTTCTCCAAATCTGAAAGCAGGCATTATCCTCCTTTGATA